ATATATATATATATATATATATATATATATATATATTCCTTTCTTTTAAATAATTTACTAAATCCTCAATCGAGCATAAATTCATCTCAGCTTTCCTAGATTCTCAGTAAGGTAGGCTATGCAGGTGGGACCGGTCATAGCTTCCATGTTAACAATTGCATCTTTTATTTTAGCTTGGCTTGGAAAAAACATGGCAGATGAATACCTCTTGTGTGGTAGAATGTCCTGTTAATTGTCAGCTCTCTGACTGGTCTCCATGGTCTGAATGCTCTCAAACATGTGGCCTTACAGGTTAGTTACCATTCTTGGAATATCTTCAGGGCAAATATCTTTCAGTCTGTGTTTAGTTTTGTTTTGTTTTAAAACATCCAAAGCTCACACCAGTTTGCCAGGAAGGTCTGCCACTGAACATAGAAACGAGATGTGGTGAATGACATATGAGACTATCATGAGACATTGGTCATTCTTAGCATGTTAGATACAGATGGGGACATTTTCATGTTCCAGTAATGGTGGGGGGGAGAGAGGGAGGGTGGGTTACCATATTTCATGGTGTATAGGTCAACACGGTGTATCAAAAGAGTTAGGATTTTTATAGATTGGGTGTATAAATCAACCTAACTTTTTGGATCAGAAATATGGAGTTGACTTATACCAGCTCCTGTGCACCCTCACTGCAGGCAGGACACCCAGGGGTGGACATGTGTGAAACCAGTGCCACAAGAGGGGCCAGGGCTGGGCTTGGTGCTTGGCTGGTGCAGGCCAGACTGTGCTGCTCACAGGGGCTGGGCTCAGCACTCGACTGGTGCAGCCCAGGCAGCGCTGCTTGCAGGGGCCAGGGCTGGCACGGCCTGGGCCAAGCCAGCCAAGCCCTGTCCCTGTGAGAAGTGCGAAAGAGGTGGGCCAGGCAGGCTGCACTCCTTGCCAGCGCATGCAAGTAGGGAGCAGGGAGACAGCTAGCTCCAATGCACTCAGTTTCCCCCAGTGACATCCAAGTGCCAGCAGAACCACATGCCACAGGGCAGCAGTACCAGCATGGGCCATGAACGCCTGCTGCAGCTGTGCAACATAGAGGGGAGTTTGTGGGGAGCCCCCACACCCCCCACCTTCCTTCACACCCCACACCATATGCATCCACACCCTCACCCTGCCCACTTGAGCTCCACACTCCCACCACCCCCCTAACCATGGGCTTAGCACTCCTGCCAGCCTCAGCACCATGCTGTGTGCTGCAGCTCCCCTGTCCCTGCCTCTTCCCTACCTGATGCCACAAGCGCTTCAGCTGGGAGACAAAGAGCTGCTAGATGCCAGGGAAGCTGAGTACCCTGGTGGCTGCAGCAGTGGCAGCAGCAGCCCTGCCTGGAAGCTGCATGCGGACTGAGCTGGGCCATGTATACAGTGTATAAGTCGAGGTAGAAATGTAAGGATCAATATTTGGGCTTCAAGCCTCAACTTATATTCCATGAAATATGATGGCTGCATCACTTCAATTAATATTAACAACAAAAATATTAAATGTATTGTGTCAGATTCTTGGAAGTTTAACCCCCCATAATGCATATACATGGTCACATGCATGTGCACCCATGTCCAATTTCTGGAAATGTAGGTAGTCCCAAACCTTTTACTAAGGGGATGTTAGACTCTGTGGAATATGGAGGGTAGCAGACCCTTCTCTCTGTTTTATCCCCAACAGTTTAGTGGTTTGGGCATTTGCCTAGGAAATGAGAGACCTAGGTTCTAGTTCCCCTTGCCTGGAGGGTATTTGGACTTGCCATCCCAACACAGCACTCTAACCACCATGCCACAAGTCGCACATTATACTAGATTCCCTTTCCAGCACTCCTTTTTAAAGTTGGCATGCTGGTCAGTCAAAAGAGAGGTGAGTTGGGCCAGGAGGAAACAAAAAAGGTAAAGGGTATATGGCTCACTGAGATGGCTGCTGGTCTGGAAAAGAGAGGGCCTGGGTTCTAGCCAAACCCTTGCTCCTACTGAGAGAGAGATACTTGCCCACTGTGCTGCCTCTGTCCACTTTTCCAATGACTATATTAAATGCAAGAGATGGTGGCTTAGCTTCAAAAGGAGCACTAGAGCTGACTCTGAATAATGCCTGACTTGTTCTATTGTGATTTTAGTACTGTGTTAGGAAATCACATAGAGGTAGGTTCAAACTCCTTCTGGGCAAGGGAGTCTATAACTGGGCTCTTCTACTTCCCAGACAAGTGACTAGTTAGAGCTAAAACCTGGGAAGGCCATCCTCCTCTACCATTTTGCTTTAGGGATTTGCATCCTGGTACATGTGTTCATATTTGCCTATGTGTGCAGGGTAACATGTCCAGGAACAGAATTGCAACCTGCATGTGAGTATTAAAACTACCACGTAGATACTCAAAGGGCCTTGCCACACATTCAAAGTAAAGCTGGACAGAAACCAGCTATAAAGTTTTACGTATTTTCACTCAGTAACTTTGTGCCTGGTTGGCTCTTTTTATAGCTGGATGGACATTTTTATGGCATGATAACTACTTAGTGTGTGCGACCAGTCTAAGTTTATGGTGCAGTTAACCAGTTAATTGTGTAATGTGTGCCAGGGGCCAAAGGTAAACAGAATCCCACCCTTGGTATCCCACATAAGGGATTGGGATGCATTTGTGCTAAGCAGTGTCCAAACATATAAAAGATTATTTCTGCCTCTGAGGTAAGAATACTCATGGGTGATATCTTCTATTGGACCAATGATATGGTTGGGATAGACATAGGCAAGATTTGCGTATCATATTATGTTCCTCAGGCCTCTCTGAGACATGTAGGCCTAAAATGTAAGTCTAAAAGCAGAATGCAATTACAACTATGAAGTTGTTCTGTTACTACAGTCAATAGCTTGCTGCTGTAGTATTTGATTATTTATAAGCATTCATTGGTCCTCATCACTTTTATATCTGAATCCTTTGCACATAAATTACAGGATATCCAATTGGAGAATTCTTAGTTGCTTAGATAGAAACAAGATGATTTCAAGATGGAAATCCAAGGCCAGATTTTCCAAAGTACTAAGCACTCCTGTTCTCTTATGAAATTCTGCCCTCAGGCTTTCAGGGTGCCTATACACGAGTAGCAAGGCTGCTCTGACATGCTGGAATTCCAGTTGCTGCGCAATTGCTGTGCTCCAGCAGCCTCCTGCATCTCATGTATCAGTGTCCCTGCACTTAAAAATGGCAGTGGGAGCACTTGAAATAAAACTCATCGAACAAGCTTTAGTCAAGCATCCCCACCACAGTTTTTAAATGAAGGGGTGCTGATACATGAGATGTGGCTGTGCTTTAATTAGAGTGGCTCCCAGAGTCACTTAGTTTCATGTTCAACATTGTTCATGTAAATGTACAGTTAAATGTGCTTTAAAACAGCAATATTTGAAGATATCCCTTGAAGTGCCAGTGTTTTTATGACATTATGATTTTCTTTTGGTCTGAAATGCTTCTGTCCTCTGAGAATTCTGCATTACGATAATACCCAGGGAAACAAAGACCAAAAGTGGCAAGCTCCCTCTGTTTGCTGAACTCAGGCAACTAGCATCTTGTGAATTGAAAGTACTTCTAGATTAAATGCAATGAAAATGTAGTGAACTAAGAGTCTTAATAATTCCATTCTAGCAACAGAACTCCAGATATATGAAATTTTAGTTTCCCATGTTTCAGTAGAGATCCCATGAACAAAATAGTAAATCAAAAAGTGGTACCTTTTGTTTTTCCTCGTGCATCTGAATAATAAATTATTATTATTGCTACCGCTGCTACTCTGTTATAACAACACATAATCAAACCTAATCGACGATTGTATTGTATTACACCCAGTACATACCAATAACGATGTAGATAGTACATATCCAAGGAAACCTAAAAATCCACCTAACGGACATGAGACAACAGGTTTGCTCTATAGTCCACTTTGTCAGAAGTATAGTAACAGTAAATTGTACTCATAGTTTTTTAGGGATTGAAACAGACAAATAAATATATCCACTTCAAAGTTGCTTATATCACTCTCTCTTCTTTAAAGGAAAGATGATACGAAGAAGAACAGTAAATCAGCCTTTCCAGGGTGATGGGAGGCCTTGTCCTTCTCAGATGGAGCAATTCAAACCCTGTCCAGTAAAGCCTTGTTACCGATGGCAGTACGGCCAGTGGGCTGAGTGCAAAGTTGAGGTAAAAGTTGTAATGAACATTAGATGTTACTCTGTTCTCTGCATTCAGGGATGTTGGTGATGTGCACATATAACTTTATAGAATGGTTAACTATTGTATGCAGTATCTGTGTATCCAAGAACATAACAAAGGTTGTCACTTTTAGCATTGATATTTTTCTATAGCTGACCGTATTATTCTAAGACAGACGTAAACGGTGATATCTGAGCTATAATTCCATAGTAAAATAACTGGTCGGCACCTACCTATGTAAGAGAGTGCCTTAATCCAGAAAATATTTTTGTATATGATATTATGACGTGTGGTTAACAGATGTGCTCGAGTTCTCTGTAACAGTACTGTGGCTCTGAGATTCACTTCCATGAAATGTTGGGAAGACAATCTTTTTGTTAGGGACTTGGTGGTGGGTTCCGGGTGAAATATGGTACTTTTCTTTTGTTTGATTTACTGAATGGCTAAAATAATCCTTCTGCAGGTGACTTTTTAAATTCTGTCCAGTGGTTATTCATCATTAGGACTATTATTTTTAATTGTCAGAGCAGTCAAAATATGGCAGCATAGGTGTTTGTTTTGTTTTTGTCTTTTTGACACCCACTGAGGGTCCCTCTAGAATGATTAGGGATTGTTCATAGAATCAGAGAAAAATAGGGTTGGAAGCAACCACAGGAGGTCACCTCATAGCAGGATCATCTCTGACTATCCTAGGCAAGTGTTTGTCTAACCTGCTCTTAAAAACTTCCAAGGATAGAGTTCCACAAAGTCTGAGTAGCCTATTCCAAAGCTTAACCATTCTCATGAGAAATATGCAACCTAAATCTCACCTGCTGTGATTTAAGGACATTATTCCTAGTCCTGTTCCCTTCATCCATAGAAAAAAGTCTATCTCCATCCTCTTTATAGCCTCCCTTCAGGTATTTCAGAACTGCTCTCCAATTCCCCTTCCCGCCTCCCATCCCCAGTCTTCTCTTTTCCAGATGAAATAACCTGTTCTTTCAGCCTTTCTTCATGACATGTTTCCCAAACTTCTAATTATTTTTGTCACTCTCCACTGAACTCTTTCTCATTTACCCACATCTTCCTTGAAGTGAGGAGCCCAAAACTGGATACAGCACTCCAGATGAGGCCTCACCAGTACTAAATAGAGTAGAAGAACGACTTTCATTGAGTTACAAGTGACACTTATAAATACAGCCCAGTATGCTCCTGGTCTTTTTTCCAACAAGATCACATTGTTGGCTCATATTCAGTATGCAGTCCACTGTAATCCCACATCCTTTTCTGCAGTGTTGCAGCACAGCCAGTCAGGCCCCAGTCTGTTTGTGCTCATGCAATAGTTCCCTTCGAAGTGCAGGATTTTACATTTGTTCATGTAGAATTTCATTTGATTGATTTCAGACTATTTCTCCAGTGCATTAAGATCATTATGAAACCTAACCCTACCCTTCAAAAGGCACCTATAAATGTGGTGGAGCTCTGCTCTGACATGTGCTAATTGGCACATGTTGGAGCACTTGATTTATCAACTCTGCTTCAAGTCTGCTGATGTGTGCTAATTAGCATGCTCCAGCAGCCTCCTTGTCACATGTATTCGGCGTCCCTGCATTTCAAAATGGCAGCTAGGGGCATTTTAACTAAAGCTCATTTAATAAGCTTTAGTTAAAACACCCCTCCACCCTGGAGCACGTGTATAGATGCCCTAAGAGCCTATAACTCCACCCAACTTGCTATCTCCTGAAAAGTTGATAAGCGTGTACTTAATCCTATCCTCCAGATCAGTAATAAAGATGTTAAACACACTAGACCGAGAACAGGCACCTGGAAAGCCCTACCTCCTCACAACTAAACATTGAGCCATTTTTGACAGCTCTTTGAACATAATGATCACTCATGGGTCAGGCTGAGTTGAGCCACCCAGGAGGTCATACCATGATGGGTCACCAAAGGGATCATGCTGAGTCTGCCTGAGTTATGAATTCACCTTATAATACTTTCATCTAGGCTTTATTATTTTAGCTTATAATGAGAATGCCAAAAATATTGTTGAATTCGAGGCATATCATACCCACTGGTCTTCTCTCATCCACAGAGCCTGTTACCTTGTCATAGCAAGAATTCAGGTTGGTTGGGCATGAATTGCTCTTGATGAATCCATGTGGGCTGTTCTTTGATCACTTTGTTTTCCTCCAGGTCCTTAGAAACAGATTCCTTGATAACCTTCTCTATGGCTTTTCCTCTTTGCAAAAGTGCAAAATCCATGGGTTTTTCCATTAACATGAAAAATGCACATTTTCTTTGGGTAAAGGGAGGAATCCCTGTTTTTCTGTGGGAAATGGGAAACCCTGCTTATCTCCTCTCCTATCTCTGCTGCTAACTGGTCTTGTAAGTTGATAGCTGACATTATTTGTGAAGGTATTAAATACTTCAGCTTTCTTTGCATCATCTATTACTAGATTGCCCTCTGCATTTACTAAGGTACCTACATTTTCCTTGGCCTTCCTTTTTTGTCTGACATACTTGTAAAACCTTTCTATTGCCTTGCTAGTTTTCATCTCAAAGTACTCCTGTGTCAAGCACTGTATGCTACAGGATGTAAATCAGCTTATTTTCCAAATCTTTGGCATAAAACAATGATTGATTATTGCTACTTTATCAGAATAAGTATTGATGGTGTAACCAATGAAGGCTAGCTTTTTCTGTTCAACATTTCTATTTCTTTCCTCCTCAGGATGCTCAGTGTGGAGAGGGGACAAGAATCCGGAACATTTCCTGTGTGGTTTATGATGGATCCACTGAAGATATTGGTAAAGTAGTGGATGAGGAGTTTTGTGGAGAAATAGAGCCTATTATTGATGGCCATAAGAAGATGGTACTTGAAGAAGCTTGCACCGTTCCTTGTCCAGGTAACATGCTTATTCAGATAAAGGTAGTTGCATGTCAGGCTGGTTAAGATAAGGTGTTATATACAACTGAAAACAAAGATAAATGATCAGCCACAAGCTATTAAGTATCTTCTACATATTTATATAGCACTGACCCATCAAACTTAAAGAAATACTTTTCAGTAGGAATTTTTTAATAGTGACTGGACATTCCTACCTTGCGATTCTAATACAAATGTAGTGACTAGAGAAAAGCAATGCTCAGGCCCCATCTAAATGTTACACTTAAGGTGTGATTAACCAGTTAATTATGTTTAGGTTGTGACCCAGCTACACATTCAACCAATTAGTGGGGTGATAAAATAGCACTAAAATACAAAGTTATTCCACTAAAAATGTGTAATAACTATGTAGTTTGTTCTTATCACAACATTCATTGAATGTGTGGCCAGGGGTCTTCCTGGGGCTGAGAACCCCTCAGTTGATGGGACCCCCAGTCCTGCAGCTGACAAGGCTCAGAGTAGCGGCAGCATTCCTGGTTGCGCCCCCCCCAATACGCCCCCCATGAGCCTTATCAGCTGTGGAGCTCACGGGGGGGGGGAGGGGAAGAAGCCTGTGAGCTTCATCAGCTGCAGGGCTTGCAGTGGGGACAGCCTGGAGAACACTGCCCAAGGGTTCAAATTGCACTTTCACTCTTGGGGTAGTCTGGAAAAAAATTAAACTGGTTCATTGATTAACAAGTCCACCTAAGTGAAGGAGCAATCCAGTCAGAGACCTCCCCCCCGCCAGGTTATGATTTTCAATTCTTACAGGGGGGCTCTTGTCTCATGGTGGGGTCAGCCCCACCCTCCAAGTTCCCCTTTAATTTGCACCCCCACTGTGATCCTCCTTAGCTGTCAGGCTCCTAGCAGGGGCAGCACAGGGATTGCTGTGAGCTTCATCAGCTCTCAGCCACAGTGGTGCACCACCTGCTACCAGCCCTGTAGCTGACAAGGCTCACAGTAGCAGCAGCATTCCAAGGCCAAACAGCTGATCCAGCATCAGATCCAATCATCCTTATTGCTAGTGCAGGTGGATCGGATGCTGGAGTTACCAATCACGTCTCCCTACCAATCATGTCACACATGCATGAATACCATTTGTTCAGTAGGGAAAACTGAATTAAGAAGAATAGATGATAACAGCTTTTAAAGATGAATTGCAAAGGTTTTGCTGAAAATTAAACACTTGTCTATATGATGTAAAAAGGAAAAGGAAAAAAGTATGTAACTGTTTGAGTTCTACTATATATGTATCTCTTAAAAAAAACATACTTTTTTGCAACTGCTAAAATAAGGCTGTAGACACAGAAAACACAAGCATCCCCAATATCACTGATTGGGAACCAATTTCCAATTGCCTGTGAAGTGCTGTGGCTCTGATGCTAGGGAGTGATAATGACCCCACAGCCCATCATGCCTCGCAATGGTCTAGCTGGGGGTGGGTGCTTGTAATCACAGTTTGAGAGTTCCCAGAGGTAGGTGACCTGTGGTTGAGGGAGTTTTCACTTTTCTACAATCCCTTCTTTTCCAAACATGAGTCCCATACATTTTAATTGTCTGCAATTGACTGAAGTTTTCCAAGTGCTGCCTGACATAGGGAGGGGTAGGGTGGGGGGCTAGGCTTGGACCCACATTTTTGGGTTTCCAGTTGCTGGAGGGAGGGCATAATTAGAGCATGTGGTCAAATAGAGAGTAAGGACACAGCTGGATGTTAGAGAGCTTTTACTGAACAAGCAGCATAAGGGAACTCATTGATTTAAAAAAAAGTGCCAACAAAAGGGAACAAAGAGGGCAACAGAGTTCTTGCTACATATCAAAGCAGTCAGTCCAGCAGTGGGGGGAAAGGGGAGAGTGAGGAGCAAGGCAGTTTGGGATGTCTGGAGAACCAACCAAACCTGTGTCATGGAAGTCTTCATGTCCACATATAATCACTGACCCAGTGCACTGGGAACCTGTTCAAAAGAGATTTTCCAGTATTTTTTTAACCATTTCCGGTAGCTTTAAACCTGTTTGTATGTCTGTCCATTTCAGGTTTAAACCATATCAAAACTGTTCTAAGTGTTTCTAAGGGAGCTTCTGGAGGGGCTGGACATTTTTAAGTCAGCCGGCCCGGATGAGCTTCACCCTAGAGTCCTGAAGGAACTCGCTGGGGTCATTGCAAGTCCCCTGGCGCGGCTTTATGAACACTCGTGGTGCTCTGGAGAGGTGCCGGAGGACTGGAAGAGGGCCAACGTGGTTCCCATCTTCAAAAAGGGGAGGAAAGAGGACCCGGGGAACTACAGGCCAGTCAGCCTTACCTCGATCCTGGGCAAGCTGTTCGAGAAAATTATTCTGGCACACATCCAGGAGGGGCCAGCAGGGAACTGCATGCTCAGGGGCAACCAGCACGGGTTCATCAGCGGCAGGTCCTGTCAGACCAACCTGGTGGCCTTTTACGACCAGGTCACTAAATCATTGGATGCAGGGGTGGCAGTGGATATAGTTTTCCTAGACTTCAGGAAGGCTTTTGATACTGTCTCTCACCCCATTCTCATTAGGAAGCTGGGGGACTGTGGCGTAGACACCCATACAGTCCAATGGGTCGCCAACTGGTTAGAGAGTCGCACCCAGAGGGTGGTAGTGGATGGGTCCTTCTCGACCTGGAAGGACGTGGGAAGTGGGGTCCCACAGGGCTCGGTCCTTGGGCCCGCCCTGTTCAACATCTTCATCAGTGATTTGGATGAGGGGGTGCAAAGCACCCTGTTCAAGTTTGCTGATGACACTAAGATGTGGGGGGATGTGGGCACAATAGAGGGGAGCAACAGGCTACAGTTGGACCTAGATAGGTTACAAGGATGGGCGGAGGAGAACAGGATGGGGTTTAACACAGACAAGTGTAAGGTGATGCACCTGGGGAGGAACAATCGGCACCATACATACAGGCTGGGGAACTCCCCTCTTGTCAGCACGGAGGTGGAAAAGGATCTGGGAGTCATTATTGACTCCAAGATGAACATGAGTCGGCAATGTGGGGAGGCGGCTAGGAAGGCCAACTGCACCTTGTCGTGCATCCACAGATGCATCTCGAGCAGGTCCAAGGAGGTGATCCTCCCCCTCTATGCGGCACTGGTCAGGCCGCAGCTGGAGTACTGCGTCCAGTTCTGGGCGCCACACTTTAAGAGGGATGTGGACAGCATGGAGAGGGTCCAGAGGAGGGCCACTCGTATGATCAAGGGACAGCAGGGTAGGTCCTATGAGGAAAGGTTGCGGGACCTGAACCTGTTCAGCCTTCAAAAGAGAAGGCTGAGGGGGGATCTTGTGGCCTGTTATAAACTGGTTAGGGGGGATCAGCAGGCGCTGGGGGAGTCCCTGTTCCCCCGAGCGCTGCAAGGAGTGACCAGGAACAATGGTCACAAGCTGGCGGAGGGAAGGTTTAAGTTGGACATCAGGAGGCGCTACTTCACGGTCAGGGCGGCTAGAGTCTGGAACCAGCTTCCAAGTGAGGTGGTGCAGGCTCCCACCCTGGGGGTTTTTAAGAGGAGGTTGGATGACCACCTTACTGGGGTCATTTGACCCCAGTGCTCTTTGTGCCATGGCAGGGGGTCGGACTAGATGATCTGCTCAGGTCCCTTCCAACCCTAGAAACTATGAAACTATGTTATACGTGTCCTTGCCCTAACACTTTTATTTATAAATAGAACCTTTCATCATATAAAGGATCATACAAATGGCAAATCCCATTCACTTGAAAGAGCTATGGAAGGATACCCCTGCAAATGGTTGACATATATCACACTACACAGTAGTGGACCATGGAGATATTTTGCCCAAAGACATTACAAGTTTCATGGAACTTTATTGACTATGCAGAGTAGAGAGAGCTGTGATTTCCCAAATGCAGTGATATTTTAGTTAATCCTATGTTTTGTCTTTACATATTTTCACTTTCTTGTAGAAAATCAGAAAACTAAGGTGATCTAAGATTTGTTAATCATATTTTTAAGAAAAATATCAATTCTTGGTTGGTTTTTAAACTGCTGAGCAACAACCTTTGCTCAAGCCATCTCATGTTTAGCCAATGAGGATAACTGCCCTGTGGCGAATGTGCTAATGATACACTATAACTAATGTTTCCAAAAACAAACTATTTGCCCTCCTATTATCTGTGTGTCACTTCTTCAATAATGTATTTCTTTATATGATTTTCTAATGTGGGCAAATAAAAGTCCTTCATTAATCAGGCATCTGGTTAACACAATGATGATTATAGTTGATATCAGCAAATTTAAGGTAACATGAATTTTTAATTACCCTCTTGCTGAAATAATTAAAGTTGAAGATGTTCATTCAGTCCTTCTTTGTATATTTTAGTTTTCTAGTTACCTTTTACACAGAATGATTAGAAAAATTTCTTTATACCATGACTCAGATTGTCATTGACTGTAAAGCCAATAAGTAGGCTACTGAGATTTTATTCTTTTGTCTTGAAGTATTGGATAACATTCTTCAGATTCCTCTTATCATAGAACTCACAGGTCACATAATCCATTCACTTCCGAACAAAGAATGTTCCCTGCAGTTTGGTCATTTCCTCAATGCTTTTATGTGATAACAGTCTGTTTATTAAACCAGTACAGACTATGAAACAATTTGTTATCTTAGCAACTAGCAAGATATGTTCTTTCCAAGCCAAGAAGAGGTAAAAGCTATCCTACAGATCATGTTTACATCACAATTAAGATGGAACATACATTACCTCTCATTTTTTGAAAGCTAAATCATTGGATGTAATATTAATCAGAGGCCCAAAATTAGGGTGACATATTAATACTACAAACTCTTGGAATGCATTAGCATAAATAAGAATTTGTGTCACCTTAAATTTCCTGATAAATCATTTCTGCTGGATAGAAATAGGAATATTATAATAATTTTGTCTTGGAATGAAGGTAAGTATGAATCTAAAATGAATGTCCTTCACAGTTGAGGGAGAGGTAAGTGGGCCAATTTGAATCAAATTTATACAGCTCTTATAATTAACATTCCAATTTTTTGTTGTAGCAACATCTTCAGCTTTCTTATATCATTGATGTTGGACAGGTGATTGTTATTTGAAGGAGTGGTCAGAATGGAGTCTTTGTCAGCTGACTTGTGTTAACGGTGAAGATCTTGGTTTTGGGGGGATACAAGTTCGCTCCCGGGCAGTGATCATTCAGGAATTGGAAAACCAACATCTTTGTCCAGAACAGGCTTTGGAAACAAGATCATGTAGTGGTGAGTAATGAAATACACAGGAGATAGGTTTCTACTGTTATAAGGTAAGATAAGAGCAGTATTATGTTCCATTAATTGAAGAAATCAAGATAAACATGTATTTACTAAAAAAGATCAAGCATTTGATTTTTTTCTTAGCCAAATTTTAGTTACTGAAAAAAATGTTAAAAATGTTAATAATTGTATAAAAAGCTGTTTAGGAATTTTACTCAAAACTTCCAAGATCTTTGCCCATTTCTAACAGTATTTTTAAACCAGTATAAGTTTTTAAATTTTGCACTTTTTTCAAAATATCATTAATTGTTTTGTTTTTTTTTACTGAGTAACTGCTGTTTATGCATAGCAAAACTTGTGAGAAAATAGTAATTCTATCTTCTGGAAGGACACCCAAGGGGAGAAGAATAAGGCAGAAGGTATTTAGATCAGTGAGATGGTGGTTGCCCTGGAAGGGATACTGTAGCCTGGGCCTATACTTCCATTAATGCAGTGCTGTTTATTCAATTTGTCCAATTACTGTTAATTGCAAGGTCAAGCGAGCCAACCTTAAGTGAAGGTCTGGAGAATTTTATGAGTAATAATTAGCCGTGGCCTGGACATTATAGCACTTTGTAGTAAAGCAGGAGACAGTTTCAAATTCTCTCTGACTGAGGAGAGCCAAGAACTTGGTTCCCCTGCTTACTGATAACTGCTTTAACCATAAGGTTATTAGACTAAAATGTGAGGAGGAAGGTGGTCTTCCTCCTACAGCAGCTATTGTGTTTTTCTCCAACTAGAGTTTTGAGACTTACCTGGCACTGGGTGATTCTTCCATCAGGCACCTAACCCAGCCTGTACACAGCCTTCAAAAAATACTGAGTTACTACTGAGTTGTTTAATATATTACATTATCTGAAATAGCCCCCAAATCATCATCCAAATAAGGTTTGCTTATAACAGTGTTTCATTTTTCTAAATTGGAATTTTATTTACATGTGTGCTCTTTATAAATAATTGGCAGTCAATGGTAGGCAGCATGGTGTTGTCCAGAGAAATTTTTTTTAACAAAGCCCTAAGTGTCAGTATTTTATATGCAGATGGCCAGTGTTATGAATACAAATGGATGGCTAGCCCATGGAAGGGTTCTTCTAGGACAGTGTGGTGCCAAAGATCAGATGGTTTAAATGTTACAGGTAACTCATAACTCAAGTTATGTTATTTTTATGTTATGTTATGTTATTTTTTCCTAACACAGAAGTCAATCAGGTCTAGAAAGAATAAAATTGAGTGGAAATATTGCTGCTTTTCCCAAAAGATTTGCAAATAATGGTCAAATATTGCATCTTCCAATAGTACTACAGAGTTACTAGCACAGTATTACCATTGTTTCATGATTGTGTATTTAGCATATTATGGATCATCAGTCTCTTACAAAATAGGACTTGAAAGACCATCCACAGTATGACAGTTAAGAGTAACTGAATGCAAAATAATGCCTTCCTTACCATGGACTAAGTATTTTACATCTTACAATTTCATCATCCGGGTTCTAGAATTTCAAATTGTAATCGATTTCCCTATTATGTACAGAACTATATTACACATGCACACAGAGAAAGAGAGAGAGACATTGAAATGGAGAAAAACATATTTTTCTATTTTATACAATATGGAATCATGGAATCATAGACAATTAGGGGTGGAAGGGACCTCAGGAGACCAACCCTCTACTCAAAGCAGGACCATCCCCAACTATATCATCACTGCCAGAGTACTGTCTAGCCAGGTCTTAAAAAACTCTGAGGAGATTCTACAACTTTTCTGGGTAGCCTCTCCAGTGCTTTACTACCCAAAGTTTTACCTAATATCTAACCTAACTTCCCCTACTGCAACTTGAGAACATTCCTCCTTATTCTGTTATCTGCCACCACTGAGAACAATCTTGCTCCTTCCTCTTTGGAACAAACTTTCAGGTAGCTGAAGGCTGCTATTAAATCCAACCCTCAGTTTTTTTCTTGTAACAAGAGTCCATTGTTGGCTCGTATTCAGTTTATTGTCCACTGTAACCCCCAAGTCCTTTTCTACAGAGCTGCTGCTTAGCCAGTCAGTCCTCAACCTGTACTGGTGCATGGGATTATTCTGTCCTAAGTGCAGGACTTTGCAAATGTCCTTATTAAACTCCATGAGATTTCTTTTAGCTAAATCCTCCAATATATCTATGTCTCTGAATTCTAGCCCTACACCCCAGCATATTTACTATTCCCCCCAGCTTGGTGGCATCTGCAAATTTTCTGAGGGTGCACTCCATCCTATCTTCTTTGTTGATGAATATATTGAACAAAACTAGCGCCAGGATCAATCCCTGGGGCATTTCACTTGATATTAGCTGCCAACTAGCTATTGAGACTACTACAGACTATTACTATCTGTTAAGCTTAATGATCCAGCTAGTTTTTTTATCCACCTTACAATGCATTCATCCAATCCATACTTCCTCAGCTTTCTTGTGAGAATGTTGTGGGATCCTGTATCAAAAGCCTTGCTAAAGTCAAGGTATATCATATCCACTGCTCTTTCCACATCTGCAGAGTCAGTCATCTCTTCATAGAAAGCAGTCAGTTTGGCCAGGCATGACTTGTCCTTGGTGAATCCATGTTGACTATTCCTAATCACCTTCCTCCCCTCAAAATGCTTAGAAATGTATTTCTTAAGAACCTGCTTCTTGATTTTTCCAGGAATTCAGGTGAGGCTGACCAGTCTGTAGTTCCCCAAATCATCCTTCTTCCCTTTCAAGATGGGCACTATATTTTCCCTTTTCAAATCATCCAGGATCTATCCCAATTGCCCTAAGTTGCCTCTGCTCTCTCCCCCTGCCACCCTCCATCCTGCCACCTGTGCACCAAGACTGCAGGGTTTCTCTGCTTGCCAATAAGTTTTTTGGTTTTTGCAGTGAGCCTGCCCAAATAGTTGAGCCTGCCACATGGGGATGGCCCAAAACCATGGCTTAATTACCCTGATTAAGCCTGGGAAAGCCATTAATCCACATGTTATTTAGCATGGATTAATTGAATCTCCAGGATTAATCAGGGTAATTAAGCTACAGTTTGAAGCCACATGGCAATCTCTGGGGAGAGTGGGACTGCCAGGGCCTCTCAGAGGTGTGGGAGGGGAGTCCCCCATTGTACTTAGCTCATAAAAATGGTGGCTGGTGCTAGAATCCGCCTGCAAAATTAGCCAGTCACCTCCTTGAGTTTGGTAAACCTCTATCCATAACCATAACTGTATGTAAACATTGCACAATGCAGTGAACATGAAGATTTGTACTTATACTAATAGGAGTGGGAACACTCACTCAAATCTTGATATCAAAGACTCAATATTTGTTCAGTTCTCAGTCCCTTAAGACATTTTCCCTTCAGAAAATCTGCCTGGGAACAGTAGCCTCTTGAGAAATAAGAGGGATGTAGTATATGTTATAAGGGCAGAAGATAATCCAAGAACAAACTGTGGCTGAGACCCAATATATTTCTTCTGTCTAAAATGTCTGGCCAGGCTATTGTTCAGCTGGCTGTGAAGTAGTATATTTTATTTAGATATATTCGCTCTATGGTAAATTGTGTTTGCGTTTGTGTTTATTTCCACCTAAGATTCTATTTTTATTATGTCACATGATAGTTATTGTGAATAGGTTTTTTTATATTGAGGTATTGTTTTTACAGATTCATTAATTCAAAATGAAAAGGGTGATGAGACAGATCTTTCCTTCTGCAGCTCCCTGGATGACTGATATTTTATTGCATGGGTGTGCACAAGCATGCGCCTTGTATGCAAGGTCACACAATTTTACTTTCTGGGGCTGGGTAAAATTTCTTAAGACAATTCCTTCATTCTTCATTAGCCCTCCTTTTAATATGTGGCTATATCTAACTACATCTGCTGCAGTAATACTAAAATTTGCTTTTCAGAATTTCATCATCATTCTCAACTTGTGTAAGAGTCTGATTTGCAACAGTTGGACTTTAAGTGTAAAATTTTAAACTAATGGATACAGATCCCTCTTTTGTAGGATAGACATCTGTCAGATACACATTCGATTCTGAATAAAATAAAAAGAAGCCTGGCTGAAATGATGATGAAAGCCTGATTATTTGCATTGATTCATATCAATAACTCTATACTGTATATAAATCTGCAATGAGTGTAAACAATTATAATAAAATGAAAAGTATTGGGACCACTCACTCAAGTCTTGCTGTCAAAGTCTCAATATTCATTTTATTCTCAGTTCCCTAAGACATTTTCTCCTCGGAACATCTGGTAATAGCTCCAAGAAGGGTGACTTCTTGAGAGATGAGAGAACCAAGGATAGGCTTTACCTCTTCATCTCAGCATTGTGTTAAAAGTCTGAAGGAGCAATGAAAGCCAAATAACAGATTACAGATTGAAAGACTTTTCTCCTTTGGAGACTAATTAATGGGCAAAAGTCATAATACACAGACAAAAATGTGATTTATTTTTTTCATAGCTTTTGCTTAAGCATTGAAGCTACAAAAAGCATTAAGAAGCTCTAAGTCTTTTGGATAGGGTGGGATATAAATATAATTAACATATAAATAAAAACAAAAACACTGTCATGAACACAATTATGTACATCTAGTGAACTAAACAATCCAGAAACTAAAAACAGCCTACAAAAATCTCTTCTAGTGTGTACATACATATATATAATAAATGATGTATTCTGCCTATTAAAACAAAAACATGGAAAATGTAGAAAAACATTATCCCATACTTTGTAGAATAGTAACACCTTAAATCCACCTAAGCAAGCAAAGTCCTTGTACTGATGAAATGTTAACATGTGACACTGTGTCGAGTTCAGTTTCATGGCTGAATCCAGTAGTTTTACTAGGTTGAGGTGATATTGTGTCAAAATATGATTTTCTGTTCTACAGGGGGATGTTTAGTGATGCGCCAACCAGATGCTGACAGGTCATGTAACCCAACGTGCAGTGAACCCCATTCTTACTGTAGTGAGGTATGTGCCACTCCACTGGAAGACAAACATACCAAATTATCCTCTTCCATTGCATTTACTATACATTACAACACAAGGCCTTAATATATTTAAGAAGTCAATGGCCTCTCATTAGTTTTCAGATGATTTTGAACATTTATGTCATTAGTTCTGAAGCATTTTCAGAACTTTCAGTAGCCTAGTATTTTAAATCAAACTCAGTCCCTTTGTCTGTATTTCTGTGAATAAAGCATTGTTTTGATTGGGAAGATCCCATACAAACATGCATAGTGGCCTTCCATACTGGCACTCAAAGCAATTTCCAGTTCCAGTCATCTATGTTGTCATACTTTATAGCAATCAGAGCTTTCTGCTACACGGTGTAAAAACACTTGTTCCCTACAGACTAGAACGTGCAGTTGTGAAGAAGGATACACTGAAGTAATGTCCTCAGATGGCACACTTGAGCAGTGCACTCTCATCCCAGTGGTAGTGATCCCCACCATTGAGGACAAAAAGGGAGATGTGAAAACAAGTCGAGCTGTGAACCCTACCCAGCCATCTAGTAACCAGTCAGGACGGGGAAGGACCTGGTTTCTGCAGCCTTTTGGACCAGGTGAAGTCATAAAATGAACAGTTGTTGATGCTAAGTATTTCTACAGGGTTTGGCACTTAAAATGTTTCTGATTTCAAGAAAGAAAGTCATTGAACATTTAAGACAGCCATCTGTGTAGATTGAACAAAAAAGGAGGCTTACGTAACTCCTAACCTGCACTGCTGCTGCATCAGTATATTTAATTAAACCTTACATGAATGAGAGATTTTTTTTTTCCCATGGCATTCGTTAAGACAGTTCATAAGATGTTCTCATGGTAAAACTGCAAATAGAAATACTATAGAGGGAACTTCAACATGAGTATCTGGCAGTCCTAACAACTATTAAAGTCTGGAATGTTAAATTAGCATGTCTAAGTCATAGCCAGTACTGATATAACTGTCAGAAAGTAGAATTACTATCTAAGAAGCATAAGACTGCCTAAAATCTGTCACCATGCCTACCACTGGGACAGCTAAAACAGTCTTAGCCTTAGAGGAAATTAAGGGTACAGTCTTCCCATATAAGCACATTTCTGTCAAGATCCAGGAACTAACAAATGCTAAAATGATCTCAGTACTCAGCATAGACCAGACCTAAATTGTTACAAAAAGCAACTTCTATTTTTAGGGATGACTGAGCAAGTAGTGTTATGTGGAAACTATTTTTCTGCATAAGGCCACCTGCACACGTTACAGGTATTGCGCAATTTACCAGTCAGTTGCACAATTAACTGATCCAGCTACATGTGCAAAGTACCTAACACTCCATAAAATGGTCCAACCAGCTATAAAGTTAGACCTCAAAAATGTGTACTACCTTTATAGCTGGTTGGTATCCAGCTTACATTTGCATGTGTAGCAGGGCTTCCCAGTAGCTGGAAGCCCAGTCACCTAATCAGGCTCCCACCCAGCCCCAGGGATGCACCATGTCCAGCTGGGGCTGGGAGTCCTACAGCTAAAGGGACTTACGTAGCATGAACTGAACTAATGTAGCTGATGTTAACATAGAGTGGAGTGTAATAGTAGTAAAATGTAACCACGTTAGTCTTGTCCTGTAAGCAAATTAAAAACTACATTTTGTATCCTTCTGCTTGACATAAGTAAATGAACCCTGCATCACCTTTATGTATGAGTGTGTGTAAAAGGGTCAATGGTGAATGAATGGCATAGAGACAGGAGAAAAAGATTTAACTGTTTATGTAAGCAACAAGGCGCCAAATGTAAGTTACCAGCCAATAAACTAGTTAATGAATGGCTGAAGAATCCCTTTTAGGCCTAGGGCACAAAGAAGATAACGAGGAGAAGGAATGCACCCATCCTGCCAGAAGGGCAGCAAGAACACTCCAAAGCTGAGATAAGTTGCAGAAAAAAGAAAAACAACTGCAAAAACAGAAGCTGAGTATGGAAAAACCCCAAAACACTGAAACAAAGGACGTCAATCCCGATAAAAGAACACTTTAAAAATGCCAAGTTGTGTGAGTCTCGTTCTCTACTGCTGTTTCATTGAAGCACAGATGCATTTATTCACCCCGCTCCAGCTGTTATCTTCAAAACATCATCATCTACTCAATAAGCCCGGGTTGGCCACCCTGGCTGATATTGAACAACTATTGCTGCTAACTATATCTAGCGTATGTGTGGGTGGAATGGTTGTTTTGTGTATGTGTATGCCTGCCTACGTGTAATGATGTGTATGATGATATGTGTGTGTTTGTATGAATGGTGTGTCCGAACCTCTATGTCTAACTCATGTAATCAATAAATGCGGCACCTTGCCTTATCCCCCTTTATGAAGTCTGGCTCGTAATTTGAGCAATTGGCAATTTGAGTAACATTTTTGGTGGCGAATGCATGTGGGGGTGAATAAGTTTGTATGTTGCAGTTATTAATCAGTTGTATGTTATCTGTATAGTAAGTTTTGTCTGTGTATGTGTTTGTCTCGGGTGAGACCGACCACATTAAAAAAATAGAGGAATGTCTGAAGATAGGCAATTTGTTGTGACTTGAAAAATTTAAAGCCCACCTGTGGGTATCTGGATATTCAGACAATTTGTTTGACTTGAAAAGTCCACCTGTGGGTTGTAAATACTTAAAAGCCCACCTGTGGGTTATGGACTGCCAGGGTAGTCTGGACTGCCTATAAACAGGGGTCTGTTGCTTTAGTTTAAGGGTTTTTTTGGACTTGATTATCTTAAAAATAAGACTTTTTGGCACATTTTTACAAACTAATATACTTCATTTAAATAATAATGACCAGTAACTAAATTTAAGCAGTAAAAAAAATAAAGGAGACAGAAGTTAAGATGTTCAAAAGAAAAACAGTAAAAAGTAAAACAGATGTGAAAGATGTCAAAGATCCCCTGCCTCCATATCTGCAAGATATGAGTCTTTTAAATCACGTGCTGCAGCAATTTGAACATAGCCCATGGACCAAGCAGGCAGTAACAGGTGCCTATACCATTGTAGATTTAAAAGACAAATTTAAAAACTATATGCAAATATATTATATACCACCACACTCCATAAAAAAGGAAGCTGCAGCAATGTGGGTTTTATGGGAAGCTACGAAAAATCTCTTCCTCTGCCTAACTGTTAGGAGGCATTTTAAAGGGGTTAGCTAAAACTTGTAGTAAGGTAAAGTTGTATGGTAATTGTAACTAGGGTTGTAAGTTTTGTGCAGAAAAAGTAGTTTGTTACTGCTGACCAGAAAACTTTGTTTGTCTGGGTCAGGCAGAGTAGTGGACATGAGTACATGCTGTGGTCCACTTGGAATTAAGTAAAAACCTCCTGTTGTGTTTGCAATAAAAAGCTAAAAAAGAGCAAAAAAAGTCATCTCTTTGCTGGAAAGGCTGTGTAAATGACAGGGTCCTTGGAAAGGGTTATAGTCTTTTATGGATGGTTACAAGAGCATTTCTGTAAAGTTTGTAAGGTGTAAGTTATGGCAAGGTAAAGTGTTATGCAGGCAGTGCAGCTTCAAAAAAGCAAAGATGAATAAAAAAAATGTAAAACAGATACTTTGGAATCCTGTGTGCCAAAAAAAAGATAGAGGCAGCCGGTGGCACGAAAAAAACAAGGTATGTTACTGAACATCTGCTCAGGCAGTAGCAGAAAATTTGTAATTGAAAGTAAGGGGAAACTTGGTTCTTCCTGCCCCCCTCCAGGAACAGTAAAGGGCCTAAAAAATTAAAATTGTAACAGAAGTATAACAGTTCGTTTTAAAAAACATCAGGGTACAGCATTGTAAATAGAAATCAGTGCCCAAAATTACTCTGAGTTATTCTGGGCAGGAAAAAAAGCAGTAAGCTCATCAGAGGCATGTTTTGTTTTTTCTCTGCAGAGGCATAGTTTAAAGGTTCCTTTTTAAGGTAAAAAAAGTTTTTCTGAAGGAATTGTGTGTGGTGTGCAGTTCATTACCCCTAATCTTTTAAAGGAAGCTAAAATAAAGCTTATTGAACTTTGTGTCTGTAAGAAGAAAAAAAGACAAAAATTGTTTTTAGTTTATAAAAGGCAAGGCCAGTACAAAGTGTGCAGCTGTAAAATAAATAAATAAATAAATAAATAAATAAAATTAAGATTTGCTAATAAAATGGTTTGCAAAAAGGAAGGCAAGAAGAGGCCACTAATGAAAACGAATTTAAAGTCTGTAGCCTAAAAAGGGTTATGGTTAAAATCTGTTAACAAAAGAAAAACTAAGAGTTAGGTAAGACCTTAAAAATAAAAGTGTTAAATTAAACTAGTGCGTATCATTAACTATCTTACTACGGTGGTATATAAAATACAATTTAAAAAAAATCAAAATAGGTACATGTATTTCAGTTAAAGTTATTCAGTGGTGTATGAAAGTTAATGTATTAAATTTATTTAAAAGCCACAGAATGCCAATGACACTAATAAACTAAAAGACCAGTGGCTGTTAGACACTGATAAAAAAACAAGTGTTAATTTGTATTTGTTGTTGTGTTTTTCTATTTTTAATATATTTGTATGTCATAATATTTTAACTTAACTTTGCTTATTGCTTTTTGGGTTTTTTGTTTGGGGGGGGGTTGCTTTGTTAAGTAAACCCTTAATTTCAAAAATGTGTGTAACCTCCCTAACTAGTCTCCTAAGTATGCAGATAATTCAAACATTACCACGCACACACCCAACAATATTATGGTCATTCATAACCCTTCCATTTGTTCAAAAAAAGCACATTTGAACCCCTCACTTAATTGGCAAATATACAAATAACCAAAACAAAATTGTCAGTCATTGTATATACAGTAAATGAACTAATTATCAATAAATATATCCCACATTGCCATTCTTGAAAAACCCCTGTTTATTCCAGAGCAACAAACTATCCACATTATTAAAATAAATTGAATAATAGCACAACCAAACTGTATTTTAATAGGACTCAAACAAATTATTTAACAAGGAAAAAATGCTTCAGTTCCTCCCATGCAGCAATGTATGTGTACTATCACTGTCATTCAAACTCCATTTTTCACGTATTATTTCACAAAACAAATTATTCAAAATATAGATATGAAAAATAACAATTTGCTAAATTTTAATGTTTCCATAAAAGTCAGATAAACAACCTGCTCAACCTTCTAATGCAAAATTTGCAAATAACCCAATTAACGATGGCTAGTCATAATAACACACAAGTGCACAGTATTTCTATATTGCATCTAGGTAAAAAAAAATCCTGAAGGTTTCAAAATAAGCCAAATGTTACATATCATTGGTATAACATCTTCACACAATGGGCTCCTTCAGAAATGGCTATTCTTAATATCATGCTGCACCCTATAATAATGTTGTTTATGATAATAAAATGTTTATTTCTTGTCACGTATTATATGTGTTGTGTTGTTAAATAAAATCAATCCAAAACTTTAAAAACTGCAATTAAATCAAAATATCTGCTTATCAAAAAAATGTAGTGTATTGACCCATTCATCTCTAATGTTTGAAGGGTCAAAGTGGGGACAGGTAGCATGAACTGAACTAACGTAGCTGATGTTAACATAGAGTGTAATGGTAGCAAAATGTAACCATGTTAGTCTTGTCCTGTAAGCAACTTAAAAACTCCATTTTGTATCCTTCTGCTTAACATAAGTAAATGAACCCTGTATAGCCCTTATGTATGAGTGTGTGGACAAGGGTAAATGGGAAAAGAATGGCGGAGGCAGGGGAAGAAGATTTAACTGTCTATGTAAGCAACACGATGCCAAATGTAAGTTACCAGTCAGTAAACTAATTATCGAATGGCTGAAGAATCCCTTTTAGGCCTAGGGCACAAAGAAAATAACGAGGACAAGGAATGCACCCATCCTGCCAGACGGGCAGCAAGAACACTCCAAGGCTGAGATAAGCTGCAGACAAAAGAAAAACAACCGCAAAAACAAAAGCTGAGTATGGAAAAACCCCAAAGCACTGAAACAAAGGATGTCAATTCTTATAAAAGAACACTTTAAAAATGCCAAATTGTGTGAGTCTCTTTCTCTACTGCTGTTTCATCAGAGCACAGATGCATCTGTTCATCCTGCTCCAGCTGTTACCTTCAAATCTGCTGTCTTCAAATTATGATCATCTACGCAATAAGCCTGGGTTGACCACCCTGGGCTGATATTAAGCAATTATTGCTGGTAACTATATCTGGTATGTGTGGATGCAGTGGTTGTTTTGTGTATATGTATGCCTGTGTGTAATGATGTGTATGATGATTTTGTGTGTGTTTGTACGAATGGTGTGTCTGAACCTCGATGTCTAACTCATGTAATCAGTAAACACAGCACCTTGCCTTATCCCCCTTTATAAAGTCTTGCTCATAATTTGAGCAAATGGCAATTTAAGTAACAGTAAGACCCAGAAGCTGTGGAATCTGGGTCCCAGCAGTGCCCCATGGTGCCAGTGACCCAGCATCCTATAGCTGCAAACACAGGGTCCTGGAAGCATCCCCCAGTGCAGGGACCCAGCATCCCACAGCTGCCAGTGCTGGAGTCCAGCAGCCATGGGGTGCAGCTGCAATCTCCCCCACTCCCAGGGGTGCATGGAGCCCCCCCATGATTAGTAGACTGCAGCTGCTGCTATCTTCCAGCCCCAGGGGTGCACGATGCACCCCTACGGCTGGGAGATCACAGTAGCTGCAGTCTCCCAGCTGTTTGGGGGGCTCCACACACCACTTGGCCTGGGAGACAGCAGCTGCTGTGATCTTCCACCACAGGTGTGCTCCACAGATCGGATATCGCAGCAGCTGCCTCTCTCAGCTACAGTGGTGAATGAGGTGACCCTACAGGTGGCAATCCCCCTGGTGAAGGGTCTACCAGCCACAGGAACTTGCTTCCTGCCAGTGCAGGTGGAGCCTGGGATAAGACTCCCTGTGTGCCAGCAATAAAGCACGATGGAAAATGCATGATCCCATAATAATGCTTCCTGCCATGCACATGTGGCATGGCAGGAAGTATGTGTGGATCGTGCAGTAGATCCTGTTGCACCTTTACCTGCACATGTAGAGGGACTCTAAAACATAATATCAAAGTAAAGGAAAAATATTCCAATATAAACACCATTAGACCTTGAGCCCAACAGGAAACTTATGTGAGGTTCAGGATGCTTTTAGTTTTCAGAAAGTATTTCATGCTACTCATTGATAATGATTTTTTCTTTAAATCTCTATGTTCAAGTCCCTGTATAGTGCTTTTAGAACAAAATGACTACTATTCAAATAAGGATCTAGAAACTCATCCCAAGGTCAACTATCCTTTTATGATTAAGGAATAGTTGGAAGTTTTATGAGATCAAACTTCCTAATTTCAGGTCGAAAGAAAATGCCAGTTACTACAAATGAAAAACCACTACCACAGGTAAAAGAAAACATTATCATGTTAATTTAGTTATTTCCCTCCTGGTGACAATCAGCTGAGTATGAACAACTTTGAAAAACAAGCGACCAAATATATGAACTCTGAAAGATTTAGGTGTGCTCCTTTCAGTTGTAGTTTTGGTTGAATGTTTAGGTCATTTTTGTTCCAGTCTGTGCAATCCTCCCGTCTCTCAAAATAATTCAGCTTATATTTTAAAGAATCATGTTTCATGGTTTATTGGAAGTTTCTTGGTGCCATTATATAAATAGAGACTAAACCCAGTTACATATCAGAAAATAGAAGAGGTTTCCTTTTCTCATAAAAAAAAAAAAGTTAAACATGAAAATTATAATGAAAATAAAGTGCACTTTTTTTTAAGATGCCCAAGTGAACAAAAACAACTCAAGGAGAGAAAAACTTGAACTAGTCATAATGATATCTTAAATCACCATCACTTCCAAAATTGGATCTGTCAGGGCAAATCTACTTTCTCAGTCCATGTTTAATGGATCAGTTGTTTCATTACTTCAGGTTGTAAAATGTTATTACACTAATCCACCTATAATTCTTTTGTATTAATTAAATCTCAATCAGGTTATTTGCATGAATGCAAGCTCATGGGTCGTTAGATGATATAAAACTTGCATCTACCTATGCAACAGCACAGAAGGTTCCTATGAGGTTTATGAAACAAAAATCAGTGTCATTACATTCATCACTGTTAAGCTGTAAAAACTTCCATTTTAACTGGCAATAAAATAGCATTCTGGGTCTACAAAGATATTAATAAGTCATGACCACATAATTTTACTAGCTTGGTGCAATATTGGAAATAATATTGTGTGAATGGGATGGACAGAATTTAATCTGTTCTATCCTATGAGTCTTGTTATGCCATGACATGCTTTAAACTCACCATCACTCTTGACGTTGTGAGGTATTTATAAAGTGTAGTTAAGGAATTTGGCCTCCACTATATGAAAAAATCCAAATCTGAATGGCAGTTTTTGCATGTGCATTAACAAAAAAAATGGGTGCATCTGCTGTCCATTCTCCCAAACAACAACCTGTTTGCAAATATACGATTCAATTTAGGAGTAGCTGAACTGGTTGAAGCTAAGGCTCAGTCAAAAATCAAACTTTTTTTTAAAAAAGGAAGGGGGAAACATGAATAAAGAATTCCTTTTCTCAGACCTTTACTGAAATCCATCCTTTTGTCTCAAATCAGGAAGTCATCTTCTGTCTTTAGATTTCAGGAATTCCATAGTCAAATAAGACTGCAGTAGAAAACCAAGACCCAGCAGAGAGTTAGACTGGCCATCTTTCCCTGTATAGGGTTTTAGTGCTTATTTCAGGTCAGGGGAAATAAGTTTGGTATATACCTCATTGTGTTGAAAAACAAAGCAACAGACAGAATGTATTTCCATTTATGTTTCAGACCAGTTTTAACTGTGACTTTTGTTTAGGGAAGAAGGGGTTCTCGTGATAGAAATGCAGCTAAACTGGCAGGATTTGAAATATGATGTTCTAGGTGTGCAACTCTGAGAACAACTGCACATTTAGACAGATTGTTGATGAAGTAAGATGGTCACAAATACAATAGCAAATTATGTGAAAACAAGCAGATTATTTTTCTAAAATAAAAGTTAAGTTTGAAAGTAGTGCTATTAGGGCTGAGGGATCAAAATCTAAGTGATCCTATAAAAGATGCTTCCCCATTTCTCCTGGGTGGGGACTTCTTACCATTATAATCACCCTACAGCACTATTCATTACCACCTACTTCAAAGGGTTGCATTTTAATGAGTGAAATCCAGTCTCACACACTTTCCCCTATTCCATCTGTTCCATCTTGATGAGCAGGAAGTCAAATGAAAGATACATAAGTGAAAATTGAAAACAATATGAAAACAAATTTTGGTTCTCTTCAGTAGCCTGATGCTCAAAGTAACAAATCATATGGCTGTGTATATTTGTGAATCAAACCAAAGTTGCTATGCCTAATTTCCAGCGTAGCAGACTAGAAATGTCTTAAATACAAGCTGTAACCCAGTAACTTAATATTGTTTATGCATAATTAATTGTTTCTATACATGTATTGATTTTTAGCAACAAATACTTATAGCAAAGCTTATAAATCAACAAGACTAATGTGCAAACTAATGACTAACATTCATTCCTTATAGATGGCAGGCTGAAGACCTGGGTTTATGGTGTAGCTGCTGGTGCATTTGTTTTACTCATCTTTATTGTTTCTATGATCTATCTAGCCTGGTGAGTTCTTTAATTATTCCTAAACAAAAACAGGTGCATGGACTGTAATTTGAGCAGTTCATGGAATCTTGTTCACATGTGGGAATGATGAGTAGTTTTTGTACAGACCACATAGTTTGATTTTCATGTCCTTTTGCCCCCAAATGGCAGTTATCTCTCTGTAGTTGCTCAGCTAACCAGATTTCTTCAGGCCTGGAATTATATGTGGTCTACCTTAAAGATACTTTAGGAAAGCTAGTTAGCAGTGTTGGGTAACAGTCCACCCAAGGTCCCAATGGATGCAGTTATGCATTCATTATGTATGCACCACTACCAGGTGTAGTAAGTTTACCATATAGACATGAGGCCTGTCCGGTGATTGAAATCATTGTCCTGAATTGATTCAGCCAAATCTGATTCAGAGATTCAGCTGCTGCCAAATCTCTGAATCACCCAGGCCCATCCTCTGCCCACTCTCCCAGCCTGGCAGTGACTGCCCCACCTGCCCCAGCTCCCAGCACTTCAGAAAAAAAAAGCCCCAACTCACTGCTGGGTGGTAGGCGATCCCTGTGGCCCCCCCACTGCCCCACACTGCATAGGGGGCTCTGCACAACTCCCCTGATTCCCCCTCCACTGCCCAGCCCCCACCATGGCTACCCCCCACCACAGCTCTGGACCTTTAAGGAAAAAAAAAAAGAGAAAAACCCTGCATTCACCATTGCTGCCAGCAAGAGGTGAGCCACGCTTCCCCCTGCTGCCCTGTACCATGTGGGGGGCTCTGCATGAGCCCCTGCAAAGCCCCGAGGCTGTTGCAGGAGTGGTGAGTTCCAGGTTTTTTCTCAGTTTTTTTTTTCTTAAAAGGCCTGAGCTGGCCCAGGCGGGGCAGCCATGGGGGGTGGGGCTGGAAGATTGGGGCTGGGGTCAGGGGACTCATGAAAGAGCCCCCCATGCAGCGTGGGGCAGCAGGAATCACCCCCCATCTGGCAGCACTTGGTGAGTCGGGGCTTTTTTTTAAAGCACCGGGAGCTGGGGCAGGCAGGGGCAGCCATGGGGGGTGCGTTGCTGGGGGAGCAGGGAGGGGCTGGGGGCTGGCAGGGGTCCCCCCATGGTCCTGTCCACCAGCCTCCCACCCCTCCCCTACTTACCAGCTGCAAGTCCAGCTTCAGCTCCCTGCTGCAGCAGACAGGGACTGTCTGAATCATCAAAGCTTTCCTAATCTTTTCCAAAGATTCGAAGAGCTTTGAATCTATTCAGACTTTTTAATTGGTCCCCTGATTCAATTTAGATTTGGAGCTTCAGCCACCAAATTGGGCTGAATCTCCTCCAAATGAAATCACCACCCAAAACTTTGCACAGCCCTAATAGACATGGTCTAAGTATATCCGAAAGGCAGTTAGTTTGGGGGCTTCTCTTTGTTTTCATCAGGGATCCTAGTTTTCTATGGTTAAAAAAAATAATTCTCTGATTTAAAAAAAACATAAAGATCTGTGTTTTTCCATGGCGAGCCCCCCACAGCGCTAACTGGCAGAGAAGAGTGGGGCCGCACCATCTCAGCCAATCCGTGGCAGAGGGAGGAGGGGGCAGCCAGTATTGTGCCTGCTTCCCTATGTACCAGAGGTTTTTCCCCTTAGGTGAGCTGCCACAGCAGCCATAAGAACCTCCCACTAGAGAGCCAGGATTTAATTTTCAGTAAGATGTTTGGTTTTTTTCTTTCTTTTTTCTTTTGTGTGGATTCTCAAGATTCTCTGTAAAAACACAACTTCTACGTTTTTCTATGGCAAACAGATATCTAGGATCTCTGATGATCACTATAACTACAGTCAAAATAACACTCAAGCAACTTTGTTGGGGAGGGGTGAGACAACAGTAAATTTTAATTGCCTTATAAAGGTAATCTAATGCCTATTCCCCATGGATATTCCATGAAGTATTGCAAGAATGCCAAGAGTTTCAGGCAAAAGAGCGTCCTAACACCTTACTGGGAATCTCAGGTACAATTTGACTATAAAGTTATTAGAACTGGTTAAAAAAGTTCCTAAAAACCTCCAAGGATAGAAATTCCACCACTTTTCTGGATAACCTTTTCCAGTGTTTTACTACCCTTCTGGTGAGAGAGTTTTTTCCTAATATCTAAACTAATCTTACACTGCTGCAACTTGAGACCATTGCTCCTTGTTTTGTCATCTGCCACCACTGAGAACAGTGCAGTTCTAGCATTTCATCAGGAAATTTGATGAAACTGAAATATTTCTTGAAGTTTCTCAGGTACAGGATAGAATTTCTAGTGAAAACAAAAGTTCAGCTGTGGGTTACAAATACCAGGTTTAAGCCCTTGGTCTTCCTGATTGAGAGCAGGAATTTGAACCCAAGTAAGTGCATTAGCCACCAGGTTATCAGCTATATTTGTTGTGAGTGGTTACATTATCTTCTTTCCCCAAAATATTCTCTTCTGTTTCCAAAAGATCTCACTGTTGCCCCTGATGACATGGAATAGGAAGACTTTTGAAACCTTGATATTTTTTTTTTAATAGCATGGAAAAACAATTTTCTGCTCATATTTACTATAAATGCTGTGTGCTCGACTCAACTTCTCTTGTGGCATTTTGCACCAGTCTGTCAGTAAAAAGTGATAGCAACGTAGTGGACCAAGTCCTCTGACATGAGATATCTCTGAGTAGGTTAGAAAAAATCTGATTGCGACATACAATTTGGTAACAAAGAAGTGCCACCAGAGATGGGCTTTGAATCTCAGCCCTTTCGAAGTTCAAGAAAAGTTAAGATTCAAGGTTCCAAGTCACACTTGGTGCTGTGAGGAGCCTGGTGCTCATTTTTGATTGGGCCTTTTTTTTTTTTAAAGCAAACACCAATCAAAATGGTATCATATTTCAGGACTATTCACCAAAGTCATAATGTTTTGGTGCAGTCATGTCAGAACTTAACTTTTAAGCTACATCTAAATCTTAACCCCTCAGCCTATTTCCAGAAACTGCTGCTTGAAGGGTTTGGCAACTTCCTATTGTTTAAAGGATTATGTTTAGATTTTACCAACCATCCACACAACTAGCTGATAAACCAGTACAAAAAATGAACCCCATCACTACTAATATCTAGTTTCTTCCCCTCTAATTACATAAATAATCATTTTATTAATTCTTACAGCAAAAAGCCAAAGAAACCCCAGAGGAGACAGAACAACCGGTTGAAACCTTTAACCTTGGCTTATGATGGAGATGCTGATATGTAACTTCCCACAGCAGCAAGTGGATTCTACATTATGGTTTTGAAATCAAGGTATCCAGAGGTCACAGGGGCATGCCATGGAGTGGATTTGGGGTGATTTTTTAAACTGCACCATAAGTAAAGAAGAATGGATTTCAGAAAGCCCGTGGATATTCATGGCATTACTGCTTTATTCCTGACCATAAGCACTGAGAATTCTGGGAGACCCATTTTAATAGATAACTGCCGTGGAGATATTTATGTGGACCATTTTGCAACTTACAAACTATAAAAACCACCTCCGTCTCCAAGCGCTGTAGCTGACATAGTATTCACAGTTGAGAACCCCTCATGCCAGACTTAACCTGCAACATTAACCAAGTATAATCAGCAAGCATGAAGAGTTTGTACCACACTGTCTATAACTCTTTATATTCAAGCATAGCTTATATACTCAGTTGAACCATATGTATTACTGTCAGATTATATACATGTTAACAAGCATTTTAGTGCTAGTAAGATGTTAACCTTTACCTGAGAAAAGATTAACCCACTAAGAAAGTTCAGCCTCTTGGCAATTGATGGTAGTTTGTATTACCTGCATTTCAGAGGGTAAAGACTCACTTGCAAGACCGATCTGTTATCACTCCAAAGTATCAATGCCTCATATATACCAGTATCTATGAAGAAAATATTCAGTATTTTTTAGTGGTTACTGTCTGGAAAAATTAATACCTAGTGTAAATGTTACAATAGGTTTCTACTTTCTCTAACTCTCAAACTGTTGCCTGCATCTTTTTTGCTACATGTAAGGCAAATTTTTGCACTATATTAGTGCAGCATGATATGCACTTAACTAGTATTGCCATAGAAACTGCCTCTTTTCAAAAAGGATGATGATGCGTCTTGTGCTAGGAGAGTCAAGTAGACAGGTCTTGAATCCTGAAGAGAGTAGAGTTCAGTTTGGACTGCAAGTAGATGGAATCAGCTAAGACGTGTGTACTATATACACTGTTTGTCGTCACAGCGGCCATTTTTGTAGTCTATATCATGGCAGTAATAAGTGTCTAGTTTCTTGCCCCATCTACCTACAAATATAGATCCTCCAGTTGGTTTCTAATTGTACTTTGAAGGCTATTTATGACTAGATTTTTTATATTTGTTAACTTTGTTAAAAAAGAAAAGTGGATGCTCACTAATCTTGAGTGAATTGCCTGTTTGTCTGATGAAATGTTCTGATTATTTGTTCAGCTCAAAGAAGAAATGTTATTGCTTCTTTTCCATCTATAAAAGAAAGAATTTTCACTGTTGCTAACAGTGCAAAATTCAGCCTTTTAGCCTCTTTAATTAGGGTAATTGGATCTAATCAGAATTTTTAAATCAGCTAAAGTCTTCAATGTACCAGTACACTGGTTAATGAAGAAGAATATGAAAAAAGTTGCTACGGTAAAACAGTTGGATAAGTATTTTTCCTTCTTAATTCTCGCAGCATAACTCATTGTTAATGTCTCTCACACTGTCTTTTCAGTACCCAGGCTATCGTTTTATGTATACACCTGTTACAGACGTCACTCATGACCCAAGAAGGGTTATTCTCATTAGGTGGCTTCTGTGTGTAGACTAAAAGAAAAATATAAATGACTGTGCCATCACTAAGCAATATCATGACAAAAACTTTACCAGGCAACCTTTAAGAAATAATTATTTTGGAAAGTTCAGTATTAGGTTCTCAGGTCTTTTTTTATAACCCAAACCATTCCTACCTATCCCTCACAGTATTTGTTCTAGGAGCACCAGTTTTTTACACAGACATTAAACTTTGGCCTGGATTCACTGAAATAAATAAATGGACCCCCATTGACCTGGGCACCATTTTCCAATTGTACTTAATGTAAATTTTGTGTAAAGATCAAAAGCAGAATATGGTCAGATTTCAGTTTAATTCATGATAATAAAGTGTGTTAATGTCATATAAAGATACTGATCCTCCTCCCCTAATGCATAGTTAAATCCCATTAGTTATGTGTTGATGAGAAGAACAAATGAGCTTTTGTTAATAGTCACCTGTATTTGTGCAGGTTTAGCTTACATCTTTCACCTTGATTCTGCAACGTGGTGTTGTACTGCCCCACCTGCACAGGAATCTATTGCAGTTAGTAGGATATTTCCGCATGGCAGAGGTTCATTTTCATACAAGTAGCAGGATTGGGGCCTTAATCTTACATCATTGCAAAAACATTTCTTTTTATGCACAAAACTAATGTTTTTATAATGCTTGAATGAAAAACAGTTAGGTCATACCTTAATCACACAAACAAAAACCTTGGAGCAGTTTTGGGATGTTAAACCATGCAAATGAATCATGAATTGCTTACCTTTAGAAGCCTATTTCTAGATGTTTAATTACTTCAAGCCAATATCAACCTGGGGAGGAAGGTAGAAATTATCATTTTGATAAATGAGTTGCTATTATTGATTCCACTGCCTAGCCTTCTTCCAGGAGCTCTTCTGTAGCTCTCACCATGATGCCGATTTGACCTTAAAAACCAGAATTTCAGAATTATTAAGGTTTGCTGTTGCATATTTCTTCCTATATAAAAAATCAGTATTAATAATCTTAAAGAAAATTAAGGAATATTTGGCTTTTACGGTCCATAAAGTTATTTTAATATAAAATAAAATTGATGCCTGGCCAGTGAATGTTACTGGTGGACATTTACATTGTGCTAAATGATACATTTCATACATGGCGTGCAAGTTTAAAACTTGGCATGCACATAACACTCATGCCAGAATGGCTGCTTCTTCCTTTGTGAAGATAGATATTCATTTTAAAAAGTTGTTAAAGAAGGGCTTATGCTGTAAGTCTGTAAATCAAATTTCAAAAAATGGCCAAGCCCTAGAACACTGAAACCAGTAATAAATAAGGAAATATCAATACAGAGTGAAAAGTAATTTGCTTAAAAAAAAATCAGAGTGCTTTTACAAATCCAGTGCCTAAAGCAGTCACTACTGTAGATTGTTAGTTTGTGAAAGTAATATTTCCAGTGATCAGATATCTCTAAACCATTCAGAAAATAGCAAAGTAGGTATTTTCTTGTTGGTGTGGTGGTTTGTAAATTCTTTTTTAAAATCTGTAGTTTCTAGATGACTGTGTCTGCTTTGAGTCCTGGAGCAGTTTCTTTTGAAAGCTGTGGTGCTACTGAACAAGTTTCTTTGTTTGTCCTCCTAAGGCACAGATTTAAAATTCCCTTTTTTACCAAAATGTAAAAATTCATTTCCCAATACAATTACCTGAAAAGACCAATTCATACATTCTGTGTATAAATTACTGTAAAATATACTGAAATCTGTCTTTTTACCTTTATGTAAATTGTGCTTACCCAAAGTTGAGAGTTTATTTTGCCTAACTTAATTTACTTGAATATTTATTTTGTAGGAGGACGCAGCAGCTGTCTGAGGAATGTTTACCTTTTTTTTGGGTTAATGTTAATTTGTAAATTGTGTATTGCATTTTATTTTATGAATTATGTATATTTCTTTTTTTAATGCGCAAAATGTTTATGTACAACTACCACAAATTTGTGTATATTGTCACTAAGCTTTATTCAGTTAATACAGATAACATGAAAATGTAACTGAAGTCTTACATTTTCATATGAGTTATTTACATAACTGATGTATTGCTGACAATAAATATAAACACAAAGTCATTTTCATGCCTGTTTTTAACTGATATACTATACTGCCCCATGATGGAAGGAGACTAACAATAAAAGCCCAACTCCCTAAAATATTGCCATCTTTTAAATATTCTTTTCTACTTGAAGACAAGTTGCAAGTATGTTGATTTAAAAATGAAAATTATGTTTGATTTGCTATGGTAACAATTCCTTCAAATGTCACAGTGACTTAAATATGGACTGTGGGGTCATGCTTTACTAGGTATAAATAGTTTTTAAAAATCCTATTTCAAAAACTGTTGCTCCTTACCTGCTAAGTTTTGAATTCAGACAAGAAGATATCTTTACAGAAAAATCTGCTGTAAAAAGGTAATGCCAATCTTCCTGCAACTAAGACTCCCATCCACTTCAGTGAAGCTGGATCTGTCTCTGCATTGTAAAGATTTGAAACAAAACAAACAGAAACAATTTAAATAAACCCCCACACTCACACTATGATGGATTACTTTATCATTTAAAGTTTAATTGTTGAGCAAGCTGTAGCCAAACTAATCCCAGTTGCTTCTAGCACCTAAAAAATTTAACTAGGATGGAAATGAATTCATAATTTTGCTTTGTTTGGGGGGTTTTTTGGATGGGGGGGGCATGACAAGGGGGGAGGGAGACTTGTATTCCATCTGCATGTTCTCCAGTAAAGTTCAGATTATGGTTTTTAGTTACTATTGCTGTAGCATATTTTACTCACCATTTCAAAGTGGTCTAAATATAATAGTAACCTATCTTGGCTTCTTACGGGTCCACTTTTTAAATTGTCTCAAAAACCATTGTAAGAGTGTATAATATTTCCTTGAAGGATATGAGTTTTAAAAAATATCACCATTTTCCTCCCTCTGCTCCTGCAAAAATTTGTGGAAAATCTCCCATTGACTTCAGAGATCACAAAATTAAGCTAAAACTGAGTATTTCAAACTCCCTTTAGTAAATATCTGTGTTTAGTTTCAGGTTTACAGTCAGGTGTTTCAGTAAAAAACAGATATACTCATCCCATTCAATCCTGTGTGTTCAAAGGATTAGTCAACACTGGGACGCAAGGTTATTTTTATAATACCAACATATTTTTTATGAAAAAAAGTCGTGAATTAGTACTATGAGCAAGTCATCAAGCATGCATTCTGGTTTTAGTAGTATTTACAAAAAATTAGCTAAATATATGTAAATGTATAAACCATATTGTTGCTTGTTATTCATGTAAAAGCCATGGTACACAATTATTTTGATTAGGATTTCCTTTGAAAATTGGTTATGATAAGACTTACTTTCATTAAAAAATAAAAATTGGCACATTTTGAATTCAGATTTCAGGACACAAGATGCCCGTTTAAAGAGTACCTGCCCAAATGTAACATAGCTTAATTTTTCTTTAAATGATTTATTTGCATCCTAGAAGAGCTATGCAAATTAGTCTATAATGTCCTTGCCTCATTACTGCAGTTCTTCCCATCAGTCCTCTCTCTTTCTTTCTTAACAGCAACGGTCAAATATATATAGCTAATTGACAGTATGTAAGAGACCCATTTAAAGGGATATCCCATTTGAAATGCAATGCAGTGCTTTTTGCTTTGTCTTGTCAAGCCCACTGATCATGCCATGATGGCATTAAAGGAAGTGTCTAAACCAGCCAATTAAATGAGAAATACAATTTAACATTTTGAACTTTACTGGTAAGGAACCTCTTTGCTCTAGTCTAAGCCTCAGAAGGACCAAATTACTTTTTTATAATTTTAGCTGGTGGCAAAGATTCCTTTCTGAAAATGTAAAATATGCTTCTCCCTTGCTAGCACACTCCCTTCTGTTAAAATTCCAGTTCTAATAAACCATCTGTTATTTTTCTTTCTTAATATTTCCCCAGCATAATTTATGTTGTTTGGCCAATTTTAATTGCAGTAACTGTCTAGAATATAGCGTTAGATGGCTTAATATCTTCATCAGGATCCTGTCATTGCTGGAGACAGGTTTTGACTCCTGGTACTTCAGAAATAGCTGATGTTTGTAAAATGAGTAATATTTTCTATATCATTGCTAATGTGCTAAACAAGAATTACTTCAGGTGTCATTTGCATGATCCAAAATTATATTAAGCAAAACAAATATAAAAGAACCACCTTGATGAAAATGAGGGGTGTAGCAATCTCATTCACTTTCCAAACCACTTACAGCAGGACAGGACATTATATATAAGAAATGAGAGAGGTGGGGAAATATTTCTTAGGACAATGAGAAAAGCTGACAAAAACAATTTCTCCAAAATCAGTAGCTGCATGAGCATTACAGTCTTGTTTCATGTCCCCTTAAGAGCAAAAGGATTACTTTACAAAGGAAGTATTCTGAAGGTCAAAACACTACTGTCTGGCAAATGATTGCATTTGAAAACCAGATGGACATGGTTCACAGCCTTTGAAAATACAGGAACAATTAATTTGATCTTCAGACCATAACTTAAAAAATGACAGCTGAGTTACCATCAATACCCTTAAAGTATACAACACTCTAATAATGCTGTCAAATTTACTTGTTCATGTTAAATGCAGAAGTACTCTCCCATTCCTGTTTCATTTCAGTTGAGAAATCCCCTCTGAAAAGCTCTCAAGAGGAGATGACATCCTTTCTTAAACGTCCACATGGAAGATAATAAGGCATATGTGTTCTAAATAGCTCTGGTCCCAATACAGAATTAAAAGCTTTATTTAAAAAAGGCTGAAAATCAAAAAAATGTTTGCATGATATGGTAAAATTATAAGAGAAGCAGAACCCTGCACATGGTAACTACATTCTTACATAGTTGCAGGATGGTAAAGCCAACTTAGCATTGTGTTTAGCATGGAGTGAATATCTGCCCAAGGTAAGGTACTGTTGAATTTAAAAAAATATTTTTTTCACTAGTACAGTATGCACTATGAGGTACAAACTGAGGCATTGCATTTAGCATGTGATCTACATTTGCCCAGGGTTAAGTACTATTTGGACTTAACCGTGGACAAGCATTTACAGTCTTTTCAGTCTTTAATACAAGTGTGTTGGGGTGGGAGGAGAGAGGATCTCTTTCAGTCTGTCACCCCACTCCGTTCTGGCTAGTGTTCTTGGTTGGGTCTTTTCATAGTGATGATGGTCAGTGATATGCTCAACCTAAATGCTCAACCGAAATACAAAACTAACAGGAGTTTCCTTTATAGCTTTAAAAATGGTGCACCTAAAAAGAAGAAAATCAGCATGTGCCCTACTGTAGGGAGTGGCATCCCCATTGAACCCTAAGATTACAAAATTATTAATAGGCATTGCTAAAATTCGAGTGTAGGTGAATAGTAGAAGCTGTGGGGAGTGGCCACACCTTAATGGCACATGAGCTGGAAAATAAGGATCAGAGATAAACCTGCCCTGGAGTGGCCTAACTTTAAGCTGCCTAAAGTGTACTTAAATCGGCTTTCAGGTGTTAATGTGTGGGCAATCCAGGGGTTAAGAGCTCCAGGAACTGCCAAAAATGAATGTATCTCCTTAGAGAGATATACATTATATTAATAGCAGTGGCAGCACTGTACTGCACACGTAACTGGGATAGCTTTAAACTAAGTAGTTCAGGCACTGGTCTAACAGTTCGATCTGTGGTAGCGTAGGGCACTTTTACACATGCTCTGGGAGTGGGGGGGCACCACCACGTCTCGTGTGTCAGCATCCCTGTGCTTAAAAATAGAGGTGGGACACTTGAGTTCATTCAATGAGCTTGAGTTCAAGAACTGCAGCCGCTGTTTTTAAGCATGGGGACACTGATTGATGCACAAGATGCAGGAGGCTGCTGGAGGGCAGCAGTTGCCACACTCCAGCAGACTCAATTATTTAAGTCTGCTCGGACACACTGGAATTCCAGCACATCAGAGCAGCTCTGCTGCTCGTGTATAGGCACCCTTAGAGCTCAGCATGGGTTAACTCACCATGTATAAACAAACAGGTCTAAATATTATCCCACGTTTAAATATATCAACTGCAGTTTCTATTGCAATTGCACAATGTGAAGTCCTGACACAAAATGACTACATATTTCAACCTTTAAGCCATAATTCAACAAAAACTTAAAAACATATCAAACCCACAATCCCTTGTTTTTTATCATCAGTTAACTTGGTTTAACTCACCAGATAAACTGATACTCTTGAAGCAAAAGCATGTTGTTAATGCGAAAGACTTTGCATTATAAAACATATTTATTATTAATAAACTTTTTCATTTATAATTGACCTTTTAACCCATTTTTTCAAGAACCTTTTAATCCCTGTTTGGAGTTATGTCTGCGCATTTCAGAAGTTATTTGTCTAATGATACCTATCAGAGCAATCAATAACCTTTGAGAGCTGTGGGCCAAAACAATCCAGCTCCAGTGACATGAACCAGGACCCCTATCATGCAAAACCACTTGCCTGAGTAAGGCACCCGGGGTTATTAAAACATTGCATGTGAAGCACTGCTGAGTGCCTGCATGCGAGAGTAACAAAATCCAGCAAACTGAGTGGGTGAGCTGCCTAAACTAGTCAATAGGAACTACCAAGTGAGGGTAGACACCTAAGCTCTGGACCTTAAAGGCAGTTGGCTATCTTTCTTGTAGCAAGAAGGAAGCTCATATTTCAACTCTGGGATGCTCAACCACAAATCCTCTCTTTCCTGCAGCTGGGCACCCAAACAAGGTTTGATGTCTTGCACAGAAAAAAACATTTTGATCCCCAGCATACCCAGGAGCCCAATAATTGGAGTACTTGCCCAAGGTGTAAAACACCTATTTTCAAATCCCTGCCCTATCAGGTTTAGAGCAGGGACTAGAACCCATCTCTGGTCTAACCATCCAGGCACACAAGTTTATCCCTCCATACATCTGCCTCCTAACGGATTCCCCCACAAGAGAATTCAATAGTAGAGTCCCGTGCAAAGACACCCAAGTGAGCTCTGAATGAGGCAGCTTGTGTGCCAGAAGCACTGTGTTGCAATCCTC